TATTCCAAACGTGCATGTTCGAAAAATCCACGAAATTATCTTTTGCCATGACTACAAAAGGTTAAAATACATAATAAATGACACAAAATAGATTTTGAATATATTTGATGTGCGAATATCAACATGGAATTTTCAAATAGATTACTTTTGCGAGAGTTCACCCAAGAATATTCGAGAAACACTTCTTTATAGTTTTTGATTGATTTTTTCTCTTGAAATGGACTTATCACAGTCACATCATGACCTTCTTTGGCCAATCCTTTCAAAAGATTGTGTCCGATATAATAGTGTGACTTGGATGGTACGGGAAGAACTCCCAAAATTCGGTAACTGATCACATTTTGATACAGAAAACACAATATTAAAGACACTTGTAATAGTTTCATTTCAGAAGAGTTAATCTAACTGATTGAAGTGACGGTTAACGATACACTGCAATCAGTAATTTATTTCATGCAAAATTTATAGAAAACCAATATTGATATAGTTTACTTCATACAAAGTAAGTACAATACAACGACAATTGAAGCGAACAAGATATAAGGCTGATTATTGGTATTATTAAAAAAAAGGGGGCGCAAACATTTTCAATATAACCATTGATTTTTGTTTACAATTTATAGCTACAAATTAACAAGGTTCGTTAGACAAGTCAGCGATATGCGAGCTCTGGTTTTTATTGGGGGGTTGGTTTATTTTATTAAATGGAGAGATTAAGATCTATTTAAAAAAAAAAGAGGCTTACGTACGCAAGCTGACTTTTCCGCATGGAACCGAAATTTTGGGAATAAACTGAAATCGTGGTCTTTGTATGGTTGCAGTAACTTAAATTACCGTGAAAACTTGTGAATATTATTTTCTTATCAAAATAAATAATCACACCAAGTTTAAAGAAATTTCAATCCAAAAAATAGCCTGTTCAAAGTTTCAGATCATTACGGTACCACAAAGGCAAGTCTTTCATACAAAAATGAAACTTTTTGTGGATTTTTGTATGAAAAGTGTGTGAAAAATTGATTGCATCTTAAAACTAACATCAGATTCGGGTTTCTCCCCCCACTACACATTCATTCAGCGTTCAAATTGAAAGAATATCATTTTAAGGCATTTTTCTCATAAGTGCCTCTTCAGAGTCTAAGTTTTACACCGATCAATCAATGTCGTTGAAAATTTGACCAGATTTATTCCTCGTAGTGCCCAATCATCCCGTGAAGTCACATTTTGAATTTCATGTCTGAGCACGAAACCATCGTGTCACCAAAATGGTTGAGAAATGATCAAAAATGTATGGATGTGGGATTGTGGGTACTCCATTCGGACCAAAAAAAATTACACCGGTCAACAGATATTGCTCAAAAACTAATCAGCACGTCTCCTAGTAGTCCCAAATCATCCTGCAAAGTCAGAATTTGAATTGAGTTTTTGGAAGAGGAATTATCGTGTTAACACATTTTGGCAACACGCCACAGGACACAGGACACATCACACACAGCGATGCACATTATTATGCCCCAAAATCATCTCCAATCGTGTTTTCTACATTAAATATGCATAGAAAACATGTTTTGGGATGACTTTAATTTTTTGGCCTAATACAATACCTTCCCTACACTAGGTGTGCGGAAAAGTAAAAAAACGTTTTTTGGGGGATATCACAGCCATACACAGTCAAGGAAAGTTCGCACAAAAGAGAATGAAACATTTACATATGGCTACTTGATGTTTTTTGACCATGTCGCAGTGAAATCTACTGCTAATATTCGCCTAAGCAGCGAAGATGTGCCGAGTGTACACGAAGCAAGAATTCTTCTAATACGGGTAGTAAAAGTCGTATTGGCTTTAAACGAGTACCATATGCCTCCCCGTAATGAGTGTGTCACATATTGAACTTTATTTTGAGATAAATTGCCAATCATACTCTGATAGCGTGATATTAAAGTTATACCAGTCCATTATTCGTTTCAAATACTATCTAATAAGATTTTTAAATTGTTGTGTCATCATCATGTATTAGTATAATAATAAGTAGATCTAAAAAATGTGTTCATAGTGTATCAATGAATCTGCAAATTCATAGCTCGAATAATCAAATACCAATAGATTGAAACGTAAAATAATATGTAATTTTTTACATGAAATGAATTCAAGCACATCTACTTGAATACAGTTAGTAAGTCTATAATTGTAACATTTATCGATCTGCATTGTAATTTAATTTAATGATTTGTTTGTTTTAGAATATAGATTGGTTGGTCATTTTATTATAACTCTTTTAGTTTATCAATGAAGATATTCTCTGAGGTATTCAAATGTTTGAATTTCAAACTATTTATGAACGAGTTAACACGTTTTACAATGAGAAATATAATCAATGTAAAGCCACCACCAATAAAAGCCCATACATCCAAATTGTAGAGAACATAAAATGGTAAATCAACCGAAACACTTTTCAAATATGGAGCGCCCTTATTTTTGGCCACATGTTTAACCCAATGCATTGCCGTTTCAAGTGGTGATTTCAATTGATCTCTAAATCTGGCTGAAGAGAGTCTCACATTGTGCCTATAACTGTCCAAACGACATGATTATTGTCAAAGTTATTATGATTATGTTTCATAAATACACAATTGTGGCCAACCTTGAGTCTTTCATAATTGTGTTGACGGCTGATTTAAAGTTGTCCTCATTTAATGTATCAATCGGAATGCTAATGCCATGGCCCTTTTGTTGTGCGATTTGCATGTTTGAGTGTTGATCAAAGAAAACTGAAATCCCAATCACTGGCTTACCAAAATAAACGGCTTCTGTAATCAATAAAATTCTTTGAACCATTCGAAAATCAATTGAAGTGCTCAAAAGTGTTCATTTTACCAGATGTGCTGAGTATCCCGCCATGTGAAATGAAAATCGTGACACTTTTATGTGCCAAAATTGATTGTTGCGGAAACCATGGTTCGACCAACACATCCGATTGCTTGTGCGATGGAATAATCAAATGTTTGTCGCTTTTTATAAGCAGTCTTGTGCTTGGATAGGCAGAAAATCCATTTAAAATGGCATCTATTTGATGTTTTGACAATTTTGTAAGTAAAACATTTGAACCAAGTGAAAGATAAATGACGCCGTCTTTTGCTTCATCCAAAAATTGTTGAATTTTTACTGGTAATGGATCAACATCCGATTTAATTTGTATGCCACCAACTTCAATCATATTCTGTGGATACGGTCGGGGTGTGCCATAAGTTACATGTGTATTTAACAACACTAATGATACATTTCGTTTGATCTCTTCAAGTGATGGCCAATTTTTGGCGTTTGTAAATGATTTCTCCATGATTTCTTGCTGTTTTGGTGCGAAATAAATGGGAAACGTCAAATCTTCAAACCAAAATGACAACGAATTGTATATACGTTGCCAAAATGTCATGCGATCTGTGTAATGGGTGTAGATGTGCGGAATATAAGATGGAAAATTTGGCGAACCAACTAGATCGGTTGAAAATTTTGTTGCGCCACTGGCGGTTGTCACAATCAGCGGCGCTTGAAAATGTTGACTTAAGGCATATAGTGCATCTTGAAGACACGATTCAATGACGATCACATCGAAATGCTGCTCGGTACGAAGAAACTTTTGAAAGTTTGCACTGGAAAATGTGATATTTGTAAAACGAACACCGAAACGATAATATTTTAACACCATATCCCAGAAGTATAAACGACTCAAATCCAGGAAATTGTTTTTCGCATATTCTGAAAATGATTTGTGTGTGTAAGTCTCGCTTGTGAATTTACAGTGAAAGATGAAAATTACTTTTTTGAAATAATTCATAAGATGTTTCGAGCAAAATGTGTCGGTAATTCTCATGCGGATGCGACACATTAAATGGTGAAATAACTGTTACATCGTGACCGTCTTTCGCTAATCCTTCCATTAACGCATGACCGATGTAAAAATGCGATTTTGATGGAAGCGGATAAACACCCAAAATTTTATACGATCTAATTGGTACAAATAAAATACACACGACCAACGTGAATGTTATTGATTTCATTTTGAAAGCACTTTGTATTTTCACACCGAGCGTTCCATTTGAACTGATTTCGAATTAAATTGAAATATTAAAACGATTCAGTTGCGACATTATAATAAAAAAAATTGAATAAGTAATGTGAGTAATGGGTGAACAAAGTCATAACCGCAAAACATTGTAAATACGGTCAAACTCTATAAATAAAATAATTTATACATCCGGTAACTAAAATTCAAAACATTCTGTTCAGTTTTTACTAGGGGACGGAAACCATTAGCTAGTTTTTTATATTTCAAGTAAAAACTGGGAAAATTAGCAAAAGTTATTTGATCCGCCATTTTGATATTGTGCCATGATTTGGTGACTAAACCAATTTTACAAGTCGACTATTGTAAGAAACAAGTACTTTATGCACGATTTTGTGTTAAAAAAAGAATAATTAAACTAATTTTCACTATTATAAGTGTATTATTCAAAACACATAAAAATATGTCTGAACAACAAAACGTCAAATTGTGTCAGTACAATCATTTGATTGCCATTTGACAGAACAAAAAACTAGAAAACTAGCAATTTCATAAAGGAATATTAGCATTATTAGATTATTCAAGCAATAAACTAGTAAATTAGCTATAAACTAGAAAAACTAGCATTGGTTTCTCTCCCCTAGAATTTTTATAATAGAAAATCAATATCGTAATCATTTTGATGTTATTTTATTCAAGAACACAAAAAACAGTGTGTTATCGCAGTTGAGCAAAAATGTTTGGCAAGCCATAACACGGTAAGACGGCTCAAATACTTTTTTACTTGTCTGGGTCCGGGGAATACGAGGTAGAGAAATTTACACGCAATTCAATAACACCATGTAAATGCGATATTTAAAAGCTTTGAAATGGAATATTAATTCTATTCTATGGACGCGACAGCAACGATGTACGTAATTCTTGTTTATACATCCGATTGACATTGTTTCTGACGGCAATTTTCTGACGGAATTGTTAAATTCGGGGTATCCAAGACATATCTCGATTTAGATGAATTTGTACTCCAAATTTTGGAGTCGTTTTACCATATCACTGTTTGAACATTATGGCAGTTGTAAAATGACACAATCGCATCCAGTTTCCAATATGCTCAGATTGCACAAAATCTAATATACACTTTGATCAAGTGGATCTGTGATATGTGAAGACTGGGATGTATAGTCGAATGTTCGCACATGTGATGTTTAACTTCCATTTTGTGTAAACAATTTTATCGAAAAGTTTCGCAATTGCAATCACGAGCCAGGTCTACTTCAATTCAAGATTGCTTTACAACTCTCTACCTATAAATAAACTCAATTGCACATAAAACAATTAGATTTCTTGCACATGAAGTGTGTATTATGAACGAATAAAACTTGACACGCCAGACAATTGTTTGAGTTATCATTGACATTGCAACTGACATTGTATCGAATTGGAATTTTCCTTGGCTTTTGGTCAATTGAATCGAAACTGTAACATCATGTGGTTCGTTGTGTATGCATATAAATCGAATATTCAAATTAAATGTAAATGCACTAAAAGTTATTCATTGAAATCGATGGGAATATAATAGGCTTTTAAAATCTATTTACTTCGAAATGTATAAAAGCAGAATAGAGCCGCAATATACTAGTAATGGAAATGTTAGAATAATTTTCGTAATGTTGGCTGTAATCATTTCGCAATAAAAGCCAAGAGTAAATCAATGATTTTGGAATCATGAACACGACATAGAAATATATAATGTAAATATCGAATATTTATGTTCAAAAATTAAATTCATTTGCACGTTTTACTTATAAAGATTTGCAAATCAAAATGTCAAATTGTAATTTTACAAAATACTACTTTACTCTACACATAACATTATTGATGTGGATTTTAAAATTGATTCAAATAAATTGCACTCAAATAAATGGAAAAAGTATGTTTAATAGCATTAGCAATTTAGTGGGACACAATTTTAGAATTTGTTACATTCTAACTTTATTTCAACCCAAATATTATTTGCTTAAATTTATCCTCTTCAAATTCGAGCAAAAGTAAGGAATAATCTCTAGAGCTCAACATAAATGTTCATTTTGAATTGTTGATTTTACTGCAAGTAAGTTTATGTCCGATCAATTTTACCTTAGAAAAAGAAACACCGTTCAGAAAGAGCTATATATAAACAACATTTCAGATGAAAATCGGATTAATTGCTATTCGTTAATGTTTAATTTGTTCATTTTCTTCATTTGTGCGCATTTTCTTCATTTGAGTCAGCAATATTATCATTAAAAATTACTATTTACAAAAATGCATCTATTCCTGCAGCAAAAATTGAAGAATAATTGCCAAAAAAGCTTCCTTCTTCACAGGATTTGATAGTTTTGATTTTAAAACTTGAGACACCTAAGATTGAGAGTAAAATTAATGGCTAACAGCTTTTTCATTGATATAATGCAGTTTATATGTGAAGAAGAAAGCATTAAAGTTTGTTTTAAACTACTAAACTCTACTCTGTATGTGGCAATGCTTGTATGCATGGCACATTGCATAGTAACACTTTTAATCCGGGTAGTAAATATTTATAACTGCATCTAGCAACTGGAATGAATGAACATCTATGATGAAAAAATGTATGCCAAGTTCATAATACCAAACACCAGTTGACAGCAGTTATTTTTGCTAACATTGTTATCCGATACAAAAACTAAATCACGTACAAAACTTTCTATGCTTTTTTTTATCCATTTAGTAAGTCAATGTTACAAATATCATAGTAACAGTTTTTACACAATAAATTTTGATAAAATATAGCTACAGTGTTTTAAGTTACAACGAACCCAATTTATAACAGGAATAATTTTAACAAATGCAATGAATATAGTTATTACTACAACACCACTACAAGGCCACCCAGTGGGCAGTGTAATTGTGAAATAACCAGACATTAGGCTCGAGCTATGCATATAGCGGCTGCTATTTTATAGATGCTATTCATAGGCGCTATTTAATTCGTGTGCTGTGTGTAACACCGAGTAGGAATATCATAGCCTACTATTCTTTTGTACATTTGAATGTGAGTACGAGAGAGATGTAGAAAATAACGCACAATATGCATAAATGCATTAAAACGAGATAAATAGCGCCTATGAATAGCACCTATGAAATAGCGGCCGCTATATCCATAGCTCAAACCTAATGTCTGGAAATAACATTCATTTGGGTAAAATTAAATTGTGAGAACGAATTTTTAAAAATGAAAACAGTAATTTGAAGTAGAAATTAATTTCGAAAAATATAATTGGTATCTACCATGCAGCTAAATATCAATTATTATGCATAAAATTATTTTTTTATCAAGAGAATATTTGATAATGAAGACGATTTAAACTGTCACAAACTTTGTGACCAGGAGAGAATACCTCCTGGCGAAGTTTAAAATTTCTTCTCTCGATTTACTATTTGTAATCCATTTTGATTCGAATGGAATGAGAAAATCTTTTAACTTTTTTGGAGATTCGGTTTACACTAGATAGAATGGGATATTTTGCTTAATCTTCTCGTTTTTTTTTTACAATTTGAGATGAAAAGGGAAATATTTAAAAGAGTGGACATTTGGCGAAAAAAAACTATTTTAATGATGTTCTTCTAAAGTTGAAAATGTTCATCTAAATACTGAACCAGTTCTGTTAATGACCAATCTCACCATATTTCTAATGTGGTCGATTTTTCTTTGAAAAAATACCAAAGAATCGGTGCCACTCTTCAAAATGAAGTCATAAATACGACATTTTAATAGTTCACTTAATAGCATTGATGAAATATACTTTGTATGCTTTAAATTGAACTCGATCGATGTTTGCAAAATGATAGGTAATTTCATATCGGCAACGAACTTGGCACTATTTCAAGCGCCATAAAATATTTGAATAATAAATTTTACATTTTCGCATGACATGTGCTTGGAAAATGATGATGATTACAATGTTACCCATATTGCACGTAGTATATTCATGATGACGACACTACATCGATATTGTTCAATGTAACATCGCCAATGAATGTATACATATACGAAGAAAATAAATTAGAAAAGATCAGCAAAAATTAGTGGTTAAAAACAAGCGCTAAATCATATGCCAAGCACTTTGTAATAATTATGAATAAACAACTTGAAGCGCGACGCAGTGTAACACATAATACACCAAAAATGTAATCGCCTTGATGGTAATGGAAATCTAGTGTAGATTGTTGTTGTCGAGCATATGTTCGCTTGTATACAGACGGTATAGGACAACAGATAGTGTATGTCTATATATGTGGGTTGCTTTTGAAAGTGGCAACTTTGCAAAAATCATGCATTTATTATGGAAATTGCAATATCGTAATAAAATCATAGGATGCAAATACAAACGGAACCTCCTGGAATGAAGATATATGCCAGTTATGCGTGCGAGCGCCACAGTGCTTGGCAAACACTTCATATTCTCGGCATTAAAAATTGCAATTGCTATAAAACAGATAACAACAATAATAACACAGCAATGGCAGTGGCTCACTTAACCGCTCACCGTATTTTGGAGAGATAGAGTGCACACACGGAATGCAAAAGCCCTGCCCTTAGATCTGGATGCGAATGGAAAATTCGAAGCAATATCTCACCGCGCTAATTGAAAAGCATAATTTATGATTACAAACAGAGTTGCAATGTGTATCGCTTCGTGTTGTACCTAATTTTTGGCACTTGAAAATTAAAGGTGAATCTATACTTTGTGTGACCATAGAATGTACAGTGCGCGCATACGCACTGAATTTGCATGAAAATCAGTATGCATTGAATGTGGAGCACTTATTTGATTAAAATCAAGCCCAAATTAGTCACATTTCATTGTACCGAGGCCAGGATAAATTCCTTTTTGATCCGTGGCAGATACATTGAAAATCCAAATGGACATACCAAATGAGTATACTCGGAATCGTCCGATTTCAACACCGGCTAATGAATGCATTCACCGTTTATTCCATACCGAGACGGAGATCGGCTTTGGGGTGAAAAGATGCCATTCTTTGTTTATGCTATTGAGATGAATTTTCGTTGACCTAATAATAAATCTCGACAATTCTAATCGTCGCCTGTGATTTCAATCATAATTTCTGCTATAATTTCTAATCAAATTCCAATTGTTGATAATACAGTCCCACTCGTATTAATATTTTAAATATGGGCGAAGAAGAGAGCGAGAAATGCGAAATAATGAAAGGAATCACGCACCCTCACAAAAGGTTGCCTAATACGATAATTGAACAAATTCACACCTAAACACAATCATCATTCCCGTTTCTCAAATAAACATTTTATGCTATCGTCAAACGTATATGCTCTTTGGCATTTGCCGATGCCTGTTGTCATATGCTCACACTTTTGGTTCATATCTTTTTGGGCCACACACACACACGCACACTCTCACTCTCTTCTCCTCTTTACTCCTCTCTCTCTCTCTTTCTCTTATTGTTGAATGTTTCACTAATTTGATTTTCGAAAATTATTTATTCGAATCTCGTATCATTCCGCATACCTCGCACATTTTCCTCTGGCATACACAAATTCAGATGTGTATAGAGAACATTCAAAATAAATACCTCGAGTTTATCTAACGATAAATCGGTGCTTGTAGCCTGTGGAAAAGTATGTACGATTGTACATGGTTTTGCAAAATCGTAGCGACACAAAATCCACACACACACACACATACATACACACGCACGTGCACCATATTCACATGCAAATATTCCGGATGCACGAAATGTATTTTACATCAAAGCGATGGGCTTAGCTATATAAAATTGTATAGGACACAAAACAACGGACAACGCATCCAAGTATCGATGTGAGCCTCGTGCTTTTTTTTTCTGCATTTCAATTTCAAATTACATTCATTACGAATATTTTAACAATGTACAATGTTTGTGGAATAATCCACATCGAGCGTATTTACCGCATGGACCAGCGTAATTGGATGTGTGAAATGGAAAATCGACAATCTCTAAAATCGTATAATATTCACATGAAAAAGTGAACCGAATTGGATTTTGTAGAATAGATGGTCTATTTTACCAAATCCAGTGTAAAAAAAATCGCTTTTAGGGCCAAATAAAATGCTTCATCTTGTGATATGCACACGCGCACATTCATTTTGCTGTTGATGCTTTCATTTTTATTGTTAATCACATTTCATTTTCATCATTCTGTCGAAATAATCATTTTGATCGTTCAGCAAAAGCGCCAGCTCACGCACATTCAACAAGGATTGTGTGGAAAATTAATTATCGTTTATTAGATTTCGATTGAAATTATTAGTGCGTATACGTGAGCATTTTGCACAAATTTCTCTCGTTCAATGTTTGTATATCGTTTAACATTGGATTTCATATTAATATATCCACATCCATACGATGTGGTTTGGGCATGTTTTTCAAACTAATTCAACGCTCATTCGCACACAAACCTATTCAGACATTCATCTATCGACAAGAGATAGTTTCATAAATGAGGGTTGGAATTTCAAATTGCGATAACACACATGTGAATGGTTTTAGTTTTGTTTTTTTATTTGTTTAGGGATTTTCGACCATTTATATACATGTATAGAGATGTTATATTTAATTGTTAGAAAATAGCCATCAGACCGACATCAACATCGGCAGGTATGGTAAAAGTTTTTTTTTTTTCATTTACTTGAATGTATTTAAAACACCCAAATAACTATTTTATGCCAAACGAAACGATGCGGTGCTTCAGGAAAACTGTAGCAAAGGAAATTACAAACGGAGAAGTGTATATTCTCTCGCAATAAACTTGTGTACAATGTGAAAATTGGTTTTCGGTGAAAATTCCACATAAAATTGGCGTAGATATTCAAGTGGGAGTGTGCCTGGTGTGTGTCTTTTATTTTAACCGAACTCATATTACATTTACCAGCATTTATATAAACAACATTGTTAATTTCTCGTGGTTTTGCATTTGGGTATGTATGTTCGCATTTGGTATGCTTCATCAACATTCTAAATTCATATTATTAAACGAATAAAATGGCAAACTGTAAAAAACGGCGGTATTTCGTATGTATGGATGTTTTCTGCACATCTAAAACTCATAGTTAGACACGGGGTTTGCTGCTGTAAACACACATTACAAGCATTATACTGTAAACATTGTTTCTCGATTGGTTTTGATTATGCTCAACAAATCACAAATCTAAACAATTAAAAGCCCGAAAATGTACGTCGATGCCACACTTCAAGTTTTACCCTACCATCATATTTCGAAATATCGGTTACAATTTCGATTTAATCATCATTTATCATCGTTTTAACTTTGTCCATGGATTATCTCAATCTCGTACATTCGCTTAAAATCAACAAACTAACACATTTTATTCAATTTTCAATAGGCACCTTTAGGCAATAGACTGCTTTTCATAAAACTTTCCGACCAAGATTATGAACGGCATTATATTATTTGCCATTCGCATCAGGAAAAATAGATAAACATTATGTACAAAAGTTTCTGAAAGCCAACCAAAATTTAAGTACTGATTTGGGTCAGTTTACCTACCAAGTATTCATCTACCTATATCCAAGGCTCGTTCCAAAATTAATTTAAGGCAACATTTCGGTTGACCAATATTTTCATAACAGATTTAAAGCTACAACTTCTTCTGTAATATTCTGAAACTTTGGTTCTTTATATTTTTCGGGGAATTATTAATTGTGTTCTCTCACATTGAACGATAAGAACGAAGAATATCCCTTAGACTTTTCAAAATAATAATACTTTTGAACAATACTTTCGACACAAACTGCAAAATCCCTTTTATTAAATGTTTTCCCTCTAGAAAATTATTTCAACACTTCTTAATATTATGCCATATCTTGGGTTGTGTTAATGTTGTTGTTATTTAAACAAAAATAATACTCTATAATGATGCCAACATCTTTTTATTCAATTGAAATTCGTTGAAGATGCTATTGATTTTTGTTTTCGATTCCGAATGGAATGAAATAATAATATTAATGTTAGTATTGGTTTGGAATAATTCCAAACGCGTGTTGGTCGCACAAAGGAAAGAAAAAAAGAATCTCTGTCGCTTTTGAATATGTGGTAAATAAAAGTGTGCATGTTGTACTTACCTCACGGTCGAGTGCCTTGATGACTTTTACTTCGCCTGATTTTGGATCAACTGCAAAGTTTTCGGAGCCAATCAAACCAAAAGTAATTTCACCGCCTTCCGGATCATATCCTTCCAATGTATAAACAATCCATCCGACTGGTGTTGCCTCGGAAAGTGCTAAATTATTCATGTCTTCTGTGAAAATAGGCGGCAAATTGCAACGACCTGATAAAACATAGATTGAAAATAGAGATGCAATCAACAATCTGATGAATAAAGTTTGTGTTTTTCAATGTGCGGGAAAAAGAGAATGTATATTTATTCAACAATGTTTGTTAGCAGAAAAACTCTTTGAAATACGCTTGAAATTTGTGTAAACTCTTGAAACTAATAGAGTACACTATCAATTTCTATTTCATCTTATATAGACTTTGCATTTTCATATTGATTATAGATGCACTTCAAACTCGAACTTTTATCGTTAAAATGAAGCTCCTCATATTTGATGTGTGAAAATCAACCTAAGAATCAAAACAAATATTTCAATTCATCTCTTATATCTTCTTCTTCATCATTATACTACTCCTTTTGCTTTTACAGATAATCAGAGATCAGGTAAAACACATTAACTTATCAGGCGAAATAAAAAAAAATTGCTCAAAGTTTTTATGAACAGCATTTGAGTTAAGTAAAACGAAGCAATGCATTCAACTTTCTACTGCTTGCGTGATTATAAAACGACGAAAAGTTAAATATGTTAGCATAGCTATGAAGAAGGTTAACAGAAAACTAAAAAAAATGACAATTATCTCTCTATTCGACATCATTTTAATTAAAAATCAAATAAAAGTTTTACTATTTGTTTTAGTTCCTTCAAACTTTCTCCCGTTTCTGATTTAAGTTGGTCAAAAGATTGAATTTTTTCTTTATACTTATGTAACCATAGATTTGGAAAGAAATTCGAAGCATTTCCAAAAATACCGAATTTATTCAGTTCAATGATTATTTATGAATCAATAAAGTCACATCCAACTCGCATCTAAAGGCAAACAATTACGTATACGAACTATCGTAGAAAAGTGTCAAAACCATATTGAACCGATAAATTCTTGTAGAAGCGAATAACATAATTTTAGCATTTTATCAAATTCCAAAAATAAAATTTACGTCACTTACACATGGATTTTCATGAAAATGGAAATTTGAATGTCATTTGGTTTGGTGATTTAGCGATGAAACGTGAAAAAAATCCGTAATGCATTGCACACGTTAAATGGCATGGGGTTGTTCTTTTGCTTCAAACATCGATCGGCTGATTTATGCGAATTGAGTACGTGAACGGTAATTATTTCTTTAAAACGACGATTTAAGTGACGTGACCGAAAAATCTGATGCGAACTGAACACATTTCAATGGGAAGCTAATTACATTCGGAACCATTTCTTGAATCATACAATCACAAAAGAAGAGAATTTGTTTTAAGAACGGATTTCATCACGTTTGATGCTGAGAATAAAATAGAATGCTATGCGAGGGCGAGAGAGACAGAGAGAACGAAAAGTTGTTTTGCTAAAACCATTTCAAGACTTGACGCAATGGCATGAATTACGACAAAAGTCCTTACGTCATTCATATTCAACGTTATTTCGTTTGTTTTCATTGCCGTTCGTTGTGTAGATTCATTTTATTCTAATTATTTCGATCCAATTAAAATGGAAAATGACAGAAATTGGTTCGTTTCATTTACATAAAACAAATTCATTTTGATTAACGTTATTTGAATTCACAACACATATTTCAGCTTTTAATGAATGTTGATCGTTGAATGATGGGATTCACTTTATTATTTTGGATTAGTAAACATGAAGCCGTGGGATAATGAATTATTATTTACGACCGTTGCACAGGAAATGTTGCCATTCATATTGTCGCTGAATTGAACGAGTAATTGAACATTTTCTCATTCTCTTCGTCAAAGAATATCTGCTTGAAAAAGAAAACTTCGATGACACAAAAACTTCCATTTACGATTCGTGATTGGCGCGACAAATTTTGATTTTGTCAATATAAAAGTTCAATGTAAAAGCACCTGAAAATTATGTGGCGCGTGAAATCGAATGCTTTGCAGGTGCTTATGGCACAGAATTTTCAGCTAAGAAAATCTTGTTAAATTCTTAAATCGTTTCGTCGTCTTTTATGTTGTTGTTGTGTTCTTTTTTTTTTGTTCGCAAAAGAAAGCGAACTTCTTTGCCAGTCATGGTCCGCACAACGATGTGCAATAATGAGAAATTTAATGGGAAAATTGTGCATGAAAGTTTTTCAGTCGGTTGATTCTTTGTACACGCGTACTGAGCACCACCATAAAATTGCAAAATGCTCGGCTGCAACACCATATCAAACTCATTCAAACTAAACTGACAATGGAGTTTTCATATACACACACACAACAGGAGACAGACGATAGACGCGACATGCAATACAACCCAGCACACATAATTGTAACTGTAAAAGTAGTTATATGTTTTTCGATTTGCAAAAATGCAAAACATTGGCAATGTAGATATCGCCGCCACCGTTGTGTCGTTGATGTCATCGTCGTCGACGACGCCGCAAAATTACAATTCATCTACAGCAAACATAGCGCTCAAATCCAAGAATTTGAATGCAGAGAAAATGGTTGGTGTGTGTTGCACCCTCGGGGAAAAAAATTGGTTAGCAAAGAAGTAAGATTTTGAAAGAGAGAATATTGTGGATGCCCGCGGATTTGAATTGTTGTACATTGGCGAACAAATGTGTACAAAATTGTCATGAGTCTGCTTGCAAAAGCAGAAGGCAGCAGAGAAAAAAATATCATTCAAGTTTACTTCCGATTCGTAGTCAGTATTCATAAATAGCTTGGAGTAACAGTTGCCGGTTCAATTTGGAGAGTACGTATTGTAGAATGTTACGGTTCTTGTTAGTCGCACTACAAAAAAATTTGAACCAAAAGCAATAAGAAGGAGTAGTTGTATCCGTTTAGAAAACGGAGACAGTGGCAGACATGAAGTGCTTCGGAAACAGTCGACAAATCGTTCGATGACATCGCTTTGAGAGACTGAGAGACAGTATCATTTGATGGTGTGAGAACATTTACATATTGCATTATATTTGAGAGCCATTGAGGCAACAAAAAAAAAATTAAGAAAAAAAAATATGCTCAACATTTGAAACAAATTCAAAACGCATGGAAGAAGGAGACACAGAGAGAATGAATGATAGACGCGCTCAACCATCGAAATGAAATTAAAGAGTATGGCATAAGGAGACAATCATGCATACCGAAATGAACAACACAAAAAGCAATAAAAAAGTTTCAAGTAGTAAAACATGTACAGATTGCCTAACGCAAAACCCTCCGAAAAGAAAAATAGGAATGAGAATAAGTTGGTTGTGTCACCGCACGACAATGAGAATGAATTTTCCGTGCTCCAATTTTTTGAACACTTGGCAAAACACTAGCGAGAAACATTATGACAATGATAGAGATGATATAAATAAGAACAACACATAAATGAGAGCAAAAAGGAGAGTAAGTCATCTCTGTGTGATAGTGAACATTAAAGCAATTTTTGGTGTTGAACTCTTCACTACTACTTCGTATGCAAACTCAAAGCATACAGATTAGTGTGTTGACGTGATGTGAAAACGAATCGTGGCATGCGGAGAGGGAGAGAGAAAGAGAGAGAGAGGAGAAGAGAAGTAGGAAAAGTGCCACAAAACAAATCTATTGACAGAGGAAATGCAAAACAAACTCGATTGCAATCGGATAAAAATGGCATTGGCAAACATTACGAGAAATACACTTCATGGTATTATCAACCACCACCTTTGCAAATTAAAAACATTTCCATTTGAATCAACAGAATACCGAGAATTATTCTCACACAAACAGCAGAGACGCACACACATGATTTAACTATGTCCGCGGTTGCCTTCAATGAAATCCGAAAGTTTTATTCTGCTGACCGGATGCTTTTTGAAGTGGTTTTCAACATGTTTACCATTCAATTTTGTAAATATTGCCATGCGATTGTCATGCATCATATTTGGTCAGGAAAAAGTAAATTCGGAGAGAAAACAAAATACTTGAGCATAGCTTCAAAATGATGGGTGCCAGTTGATATCGAATGAAATTTTTACAGGATTTCACCTCTTGCATACACCGATGCAACCAAAGCCGATATCACCCCATGTTTACATTGGTTTGACTGGATGTACCTGCTTGTCGGTGCTGGCACAAAATTGCAATTATTCTGCTTGCTTGCGACCATATTATCAATGGGTTGCACGTTTCTCTCATTGTTGACGAAACATTTGGCATAATTGAAAAAAAAATCTGCGCGCACACGCACACATGGGTGTGCTTCGAAACGCCAATTCAATAGTTAACATGTACAGAACATGTCACCAATTACAATTATCTACTGCTTGCCATTGTGCGAGAATAAAAAGTTCAAATGCTCGTAAAAGAACAGAGTGAAAAACTGAGGCTATAGATAGGGCAAACACATGCGAATATAGAATTAAATATGCCTATTTTATGAACTAATTATGTAAAAATGTCACGTTCCCACGAAATGCAAAAGCTTAGGAACGTGTAAAATCAACAAATAAAAACATTTTCGCTCTGCACTTTGAAGCTTTCAGGCCATCTCTGTCCTCCATCTCCCAATTTCTCTGTAGATAATTTCATTTTCCGCTTGTTTGTTTTTACCGAGAACAGTATGTTGCTAGCTGTGCTGCAATTTTGTTTGTTGGCACGGCGAGAAGGTTCTTGTAATTTTATACGATTTGCTTGAATCAAATGTAAATTACGGTTTAATAAATCGTTTGTGGGTCAGAAAAGGACGGAACAAACGGAAACTGCCTTGCAGCAGTAGACTTCAACCAAATAGGAAATACGTTGCATCGTTATAAATGTTGGTAAAATGAATGTATATCAACTGTTAATTACTGAAAATTTACCGGGAAATATCTCAAATATCTCGCTTCGATGCGGGTCGAGAGCATGGATGACAGCAGAAAATTACGTTTCTGGAATATTTTTGATTGGTCAATTATTCGATTTGTTGCGGAGCGCGATTCCGGTCAGTTGGCCGTTTGGCACAAAAATGTCGGAAACAAAGACGAATCGAACTGGAACTCGTTGAGTATCCATACGTTCGAAAGTAACAACTGCATTATAA